TTTATTGATATAAATTCATAGCACCATTATTCAGCAATCATCAAAGTATTTTTATTTGTTTTCTATAACCTTATTGCTATCTTTCAGCTAAATTGTGTTCCTTGTATTAGGTTGATGTAGAAATTTCTAGAATGTTTGACAAAATCTTTTATTCATAAAGCCATTATTGAGTTAAGTCTTTTTCCTGGATTTCAATGGCCTTATACCACTTTTCAGCTTAATTGTAAATTCCATTGTAAAAGAGTAAAAACATTTTAGAAATAATGAATTCTTCGAGATCTTCAAATTCTTGGAACTGCTAACCAGATAAAGGAATGGTGCAGATCAAGTGCTCGATTGAAAGTGTCAGGACTGGTGAATGCATATGAAAGAAGAACCCATCTAAGATCCATGATCAATTGCTACATCACATGCGTAATATGACTGAGGATTGTCATAAAATAATTCATATTTGCTTTTTATGACTGGAAAAGTTTTGTTTTTATATTGTTTTTTTTTTTTTTTTTATATCTTCCAAAGCATCAGTCAAATAAGCAAATTGTTTTATTAACAATATGTCTAGTTTACAATACTTTATAATAATTGAATCTCTTTAAATCTCATGAAAACATGGAAGATCATGTTCCTCCAGCAGATTTAAGACTGGGGTGCTGAAAACTGTCTGGAATCCTTTTCTTAATTTTGAAGTCTCATTATAAATCCATTTTTTTTTTTTTTTTTTTTAAATTTTACTACTTTCTTGACTAAAAAAAAAATGTTTTTTTTGTATTGGGTAAAACCATAAAACATGAAAACAATAATGCATGATTCTTTCTATAAATTCATGCAAAATCTGTTTTGCTAGATTCAGATTTTCTTCTCAATGCTTGTAAACAGCTGTTGACTGATTACATAATCAACAAGAGAGCTCAGTAAAGATCACAAACAATATTAACCATTTCCTTCTAAGGAAAAATTTGGCATTTCTTGACTGAGTAGCTAGTACTGTATTCAGTTGAAATTTATAAAATCTTACTCATAAAACAATTTTTCAGCTAAATAGGTTTCTCATATTCCATAGCTGTTATAGCTCTTTCCAGTATTGATGGAAGTTTCTCTCCTAACCTTTTGTCAAAAGTCATGTGGAATGTCAGCATCTTGATTATATTATTATTTTCTCTTCGAGTTACATGTGATATTCATTCTAATTTTATGTAAACTTTCTGGGAACTTTTGCATCTATGCAATAAATCAAAATAAAAAATATACTGATTTGCATATACTGCACATTTCTTATGAATATAGTTTTTAAATTATTGTTTATTGCAACTTATTGATGTAACCTCACTTTTTGGTTTGTCTCTTTATCAATTAGTCTCCTAACTATAATACCAGCATACTGAATGCAGTTATGTATGGAGATGTTTTTAAATAACTTTTCGTTGGCTGCCAAATATTGTTTTTGTCTCAGCATTTTTTATTTATTTTTTTAATCAATTCATCCCAAGCAAGGTGATGATGTCATTAAGATACAAGGAGGTTACAGAAAGAGAATGAGAAGACTTTAGAAGGAACCAAAAACCTAATCCTAAAGAGGAATAGATAAACATCTCCTGCCCAAAAGACTGCGGAGGAGTGTGCACCAGACAATAGGTGAACCTTACATCCTAATGAACAGATTAGGATATGACACTGACATCAAGACATCCCTGTTAAACTCACTAGTCGCCAGAAGACACTACAAATCTTTTAATAAACTGAGACATAGTTAAAAATTCTTTTACAATTTACTATTTTTTTTAAATCAATTCACCTCCTGCTGCCACTAAGATTCAAGGGGTATACATAGATTGGGATATGACACAATCACCAAAACATCCAACACATTAGTCCCCAGAAGACCCTAGAAATAAATATATATTATTAAAAATAATGATTCTAAATTACTAATATTAAAATATATATAAGCAGTACTAGACAATGCCTAAAAGTTTTGTTAGACACACTAGCACCCTGATGAAGTCGGAATGAAATATATATGGTTATAAATGGTTAAATTTTGATTGCAAATCAAAATAATGTTAAAATATAAAAACAGTACCAAACTAACAACTAAACAAACTCCTTTTGATGCATAAATCTCCTGAGAACCCCAAAATTAAATATATATAAATGATTAAGTTACAAATTAAAAGAAGAAAAATAATATATAACAATGGATGAATCCTCAATTGAATATAATTAGTTTTTTTCTTAAATATTCTTTGTCAAATTATCGATGCCTGTTATATGTCAGTGTATGTTATGTGCTCGGAAATATGATATTCTTAATGCAACACTAGACCTAAATAGTTTAAAGTGTTCTAATAATTTTAAGATTTTATCCAAGATTAGTAGAATTTTAGAAGAGGAGATAAAAGGAATATTTCTGATATGAGGTGCATTCAAAAAAAGTATCTGACCTTTGAGCATAAAAAAGTCAGTTTTGTACATTTCACAAATTTTATTTAATCACCTTCAAATTACTTCCCTTGGGAGTTCACACACTTCTCCTAGTGGTTCTACCACTACTGGGACAACCTCTGGAAGGCCTTCTATGAAATACTATGCAGCTTTGTTGTCACTTTTCTCATAATTTCCTCTCACAACTCAAATTGCATCCCTTTCAGTGTGGTTTACAGATTGGGTAAGAGCCAAAAGTCAGGAGAATAGGGAATCTGTTGAAGAAATGAAGCATTCTTCTTGACCAGGAAAGATTGGATTATGTGGGCTGAATGAGGTGACAAATATCACTGACAATCTCTGTGTGCGCAAATCCACTATTAAAATGGAATGCATTGATTCTGTGCTTATTTCCATTTTGTGAGTAATTTCCTGGATTGTTACATGACAGTCTTCCATGACAATTCATTGAAGGTTTTCAGTCAGCTCCTTATTTCGGCTTGTGGATGGCCTACCTGAGTTTGCCTCAATCTGCACTGAGGTGCAACCATGTTTGAAGTGGTTGTAACACTCTTTGGTCTGAGTTTTGCCCATGGTATCATTGCCAAAGGCCTGCTGAATCTTCTGGATGACTTAAGCTTGAGTATCACCAAGCATTTGGTAAAATTTGATGCAATATCTCTGATGTGTCCTGTTTGGATTTCCGCTGTGTGCAAATTGTTAACCCCACAAACTGGGGGTCAAAACACTATGAAAATATAAAAATACATATTTATAGAAAAAATACCAGCAATATATTTTCATAATTAAAAAAAAAAAAATTACCAACAATACATTTTCGAAAAAAAAAAATTTTTACCATCAATACATTTTTAAAAAAGAAATTACTAAAGCTTACAAGAAAATTAAATTTCAGCATTAAATGACCCATTAGGAGTCGATATGCCACTAAACAAACAAACCTTTGCTTGATGCTTGAAAATGAAAATTCAACAAGTGTACACAATATGTCTGTACTCTAGGCAGAACAGCCAGGAACTGATGCAGCTTATTGGTGTGAAAGTTTTCGCACGTTCACAGAAATGGTGGATTCACCTCCTACCCAAAAGATTTTTCCCATGCAGCATTAATTTTGGCAGGGAAAAATAAAGTTTATACTTTTTGAATGCACCTCCTATTTAAATTATCATATATAACATATCTACATAGGACTTGTTTTTTTTTTTTTAATATCTCTTTCTGCTTTCTAAAAATATAATCAGAAACATCATCTTGAGTATCTATTTTACTCCAAGTACTGATCACATTTTGCCTAAATAATGAGCACATATTGTCCAGATATTGATCATTATAACTGATATATTTATTTCATGTGTTCTTTTTTTCTTTTTCACATTTCTTGTCTTGCCAAGATTGAAACCGAATCCATAACTTTTCGTTCTATTCTTTCATTTTTCTCGGCTTCACTGCCAGAGTATGTTTTTTGGTCAGTGTTTAAATGGTACCACATTGCAAAAAAAGCCTTCCTTCTCATTTTTGGTTATCACTCTAGGCTTTTCCACAATGTAGAATAAAACAGACCAAATATGTACTGAAATTCAAATTAACTAATGTACTGACACTAAATTGATTAGATATATTGAAATTTAAATTAACTGCAAGACAGGTTTTTGAAATTTTTTGTGCTTGTCTTTCGGAGAAAACATGTTTAAAATTTTTTATCATTATAATAATAACCAAAAATGATTATCAAATTTACATGAGAATTTTAAATGAAAGAAGTTTTGTAACCAAGTCCTCTATTGATGAGGATTGCGATGGATTTTATTTTCTTCAAGCTGTTGACCAAATCTTGAGCTAGTTTTGTAGTTATTCATATTTCATAATTAATTCAATGTCCAAGTATAGGTCAAAGCCAAGGCTTTGAATGCTGATTTTCAAAGCAGGTTGGCCCTTCCCATTTGGAAGATTCATGCAACTTATACCAAAGAAAGCTAAAGAAAGTTAAATAAATAATGTAGAACAATTATTTTTTTTTGTAAATCTTTGATTAAAATGTTTTCAGTTACTGGATATTATTTTCAGTTTTCATCTTTCAATTTTATTTCTCTCTTTTTTTTTTTTAATTTTGAAAATCAAAAGTGTAATGCCATAAAAGCAATTAAGAAAAGACTGTTTGCAAAATGCCAACATTCGAACACTGACTCCACTTTCTCTTTAATTATACATTTGTGTCTCATGGAAAGAAAACTGTTTTTCTTTTTCCTTTTTTTTTCTTTTTTTTTAAAAATCATTTTTTTTTTATACATCCTATTTCATCTAACCAATCTTTGCATATTTACATTCACCATTACTGCCACAGTAACATCTGTACTTCTCTTCTTTCACTATTTCTTTATCCTTTCTCTCTTATTTAAAAAAAAAAAAATCACTTTATTTAATACTCAGTCACCCATGTTAATTTAATTTTTTATTTATCCCTTTTAATAAGGTTGAACATTATTATTCTTACTAGAAACAAATGAACCATCCATTTAAAAAAAAAAAAAAAAGAAAAAAAAGAAATGGTTGCTTCTGCAATGTTTAATTATTCATTCTCCCCCTTAGGCTGGCCAACGCGTCCGGCATCTCCGGCCGTCACGGCATACGTGGCCTGCCCGCTACAACAGTGCACTGCTGACCAGATCATGCCAAGGGCCCCCGAAGACATGAAGGACTTCTATAATTATGCAAGTGCCGGGTCAGATGGCGATATCGAGACTGACTATGCCATATCTTCTTCGCATCCTCGACTTATACACAGACAGAGGTCGACTAACGCAGCAAATCATATCCACTCAGAGAGTTCTTCACTCTCCTCCGTGGGCTTAGATAATGGCCACATGCAAGACCCCAATCTGTGCTGTTCGAAACTGTCTGACTCTGAGGGAGTTGACAGAGAGATGGTCATGTGCTACGGCCGTGCAGGTAACCACTGACTTACTGTCCAAAATAGCTACTCCTCCGCTTGCTCAGAATGTTGATTTGGAAAAAAAAATTGTCTAATTGTTGCATCTGCTACCACTTCTACTATCACTACTAATTATGACTAATACTAATCATTTTACTAATTCTTAATATTTCTGTTCCTACTAAAGCTAACCTTATTCTGTCTTTTTTTTTTTGTTTTCTTTTTCCTTTTCTCCAACAGGGTGTCATTAAGATCCTTGTGAAATTTAGATTTTTAATGACTACTTTCATTATCTAAGCTATATATATATATATATATATATATATATATATATATATAAGGTTGGTGCAAAAATAATTTCATTTTCTTACATAGTAACATATATTAGAAAACAAAATTATTTTTGCACCAACCTAATATATAATCAACAAAAAATTCCAATGAAAGCAAATTTATTTATTTTATAGTTTAAAATCATTTAATAAACTGAGACATACTTAAAAATTCTTTGACAATTTACTATTTTTTTAAAAATCAATTCACCCCAAACAAAGCAATGCTGCCACTAAGATGCGAGGGGGGATACAAGGATTGGGATATGACATGGCCACTAAGAGAGCCAACGCATTAGTCCCCAGAAGACCCTAGAAATATATATTATTAAAAATAATGATTCTAAATTAAACTAATATTAAAATATATAAGCAGTACTAGATCAATGACTAAACATTTTCTTAGATACATTAATGCCCTGATGATGCCGGAATGAAAATATGTAAAGTTATAAATAGTTAAATTTTGATTGCAAATCAGAATAATGTTAAAATATAAAAACAGTACCAGATTAACAACTAAACAAACTAACAATTTAATCCACTAGGATATTGTCCCTTAGGAACAATTGTTAATATGTTTATCATAGTCCTACAGGATAATAACTCTGTGGATCAAAGTGTTAGTTCAATTCATGGGCCGGGTAGTGTGTACTTGGATTCAGTGGAAATGGGTGGGCAATAACTGAGCAGTACTAAAAATAAGAACTAGATGAGATATCTCTAGATGTGGTCAGTGGAACAAAAACAGTTGTTGTATCCTTAAAGAAGGTTACAGACAAAAGTAGTACTCGAGTGAAAGGAACAGCAACAAGCACATAGATGAAAGAAAGAGAGATTTATTGTAAAAAATACGCTATTGAAAAACAAGGAATAGTAATTCCTGAAGCCAGTCCGCCATGTATAGCTTGTGCTTACTATATATATATATATATATATATATATATATATATATATATATATATATAATTTACTGATATAGTCATTCCACATATGCGACAGGGAGTGTGAGACATTCCATTACAACAGTCTACCCAGCCCTGTAGATTAATTAAAGGGTTCATTTCAGAATTCCCTGTAGGTTACCCAGATCAATATACACTTGATGAAGGTTGGAGCTAACTACGACAAAGAGGAGAATATTCCAAATGAAAATAGTGTAAATAATGATAATTCCACATCACAGAAATTTGGGCATAAACATAAAATAATATGTAGCAATGAATTCTAACAATGAATGTAAACTGATTGCTTAACTTTTTAGCCTTCAAGACACACAAACTCACTCCAGAAATATTGGCTGTCAAAGTCTCACTGTTTTTGGTGAAAGTCTCGCTGTTTGCATGACTTCCTGCTTTATTTGTGATGATGATGTCATATATTATGGCAGAGTATACATGGGGCAGGTTACAACGGGTTGAATATTGAGAGCCGATATTCATGGGCAGTTTGAATGTTAAAGAGTTAATGTCATAAATTGGTTATTCTTATCTGAAAGACCAGGCCTGCAAATGATGAGAATAAATGTTGTTTTTTTTTTTTTTCTATATTCCAAACATTAAATTTTTTATCCTGACAAAAATATGATTTTATTTGTATTCCTGTAAGATATTTCTAGTTTTAATCAAGAGCAATTCTTAAAAACCTAGACTGCACAAGGAATTTATAGACATTCTGTTTCTTATTAATTTCTTGGCTGTTTTAACTTTTTCTATTTAAAAAGATCCCTTATCTCTAAATCTGTTGATCTTAAGATGACCTGGACTTCTTTTTCTTTTAATTATTGTTATTTTTCTTTCTTTTTCTTGATTGTCCTTTCTCATATTGCCTAGTTCTCTTTTCACTTTTGTTTTTCTTACAATATTTGGTGTTTGGCACCAAGAAAAACTGCTTTTTCACATCTTTCCCCAGCACTTCTAGAAAATACTTCTTAATGGAAAAAAAATAAACCTGAAACCGATTCTTTTAGTTTTAATATATAAATCAAAACCGTTATGCAACATGAAATGTTTACTAGTAGCTTGCTTCCCCTGATTATTAATCTTTCTCAAAGACACCAGTTCTGTGATCTTATATCTTTGAAGTTATTGGCATTTCCCAAATAATTTTAATCTTGCAGTAATTTACAGTGTTTTCTTTTTACTAATCCTTATACAAATTAATTATGGGCTTTACAAACTTGAGCAAATGTTTTCAGAACATGGTATCAAGTGCATTAAGCTTAAATTATATAACTTAAAAATATATTTCACTTTTTTTAACTAATTATTCACCCAATATAAGGGCCATGAGCCACTCAAGATAGAGAATGAGGTTTTTGAATGTGCATAAGAGGAGTTGATGAGTATATGAAGGAAAGATAACAGTTAACCTGAGACTTGAAGATAATTTAAGATAGCTTAAACCAAAATTTAAATAAAATGAATAACCAAACAACATAAAAATGGCAGCTGATCATAGTCAGGATCATAGTCAATGCAAACTCCACAATCCTTTCCTTAGCTGCATAGTATGTGCTTTGCCAGGGTTTAAAATGGTTTTTCAATTTAGTTGTCTTTCTACTAGACTGGCTGCCAAACAAGGCTACAGAGCCCAAACTTGATTTTTATTTTGTCTCACTGAGATAATTTGCATTTAGAATCAGATTTTGGTCTATCTTAAAATCTTTGTCCTTCAGGATGCCGTTTCGGAATGCTATGTACATAAGTGTTATATTCCTATGGTAGTCAATTTCTATTTGGGATTGATCCCCCCTCAAAAAAAAAACACATTTTTTGGTGGTTTTTAATTGAAAGATATCATATTTATCAGTAAGACATACAGATTGAATGAGATATTTCTTCAAAATGTTGCTAAACTAACTAAAATACGCATTTTAAAAAAATTATATTTAAACATTTGCTCACTGAAATTTTTGTAGTTTTTGTTAAAATCTGTTGCTTATGATATATATATATATATATATATATATATATAAATTTAGCTTAATTTTTAATGCACTTGATACCTTATGCCTAAAACATTTCTTATTCCAACATTAAATCTTGTATTACTGAAAAAGACTGAGTATCTGTTGAAAGGTTTAATATCAGGGGATGCTGAAAATTTCTTCACCCAACCAAGAAGTGAATGGAAAAGAAAATTCTTTCTGATGTTTATCAGATTTTGGGAAGTGTGTCAGGCTGAGAACTTTTCAGCACATCCTCATATAACAAACCTTCTTTATTGCGTGAATATTTTCCAACCAAGAATTGTAATGAAAAAGTTTCTTCTTTCTTTCTCTCAAAGAGTATTTTGTTTCACTCCCAAATATTTTCACTCATTAAAAAAGAGAGAGAAAAAAAATTTCTTTTCTTTTTGTTTATCCTTTTTTTGTCTTTTGCTGTCTTGAAAATAATCCTTTGGATTGGAAGCCAAAAATATATTCCTCTTAGAATCTTTCAGTCAGATGGAAAAAATTAACTTTTTTTTTTTCTTGTTTGCATTTAATTTTGATAAAAAAAAGGATATAAGACACACATAAATTTCATTTCTGTATACCAGGTAAAAAACAAAAACAAACTTTTAAGATGACAAATCCCTCCAAAACTGCTTTTTTTTTATCACTAAGTACCAACACTTCAATTGTCTCCCTTCTCAGTCAACTCTCCTTTATGTACAGCTCATAAAACTAATTTTAGTATCTAATAGCTTCTAATAGCAGTTAATCTCCAACACACACACACAACAAAAAAAAGAAAAATACAAGAAAATGTCTGAAAACAACCTAGAGAAGATTTTCTTTATTGCTTTTTCTCTCTTTATTTTAGATAAGTACACTGTATACAGAGGATTCTCTTGGTGTCTGCTGATAGTTAAAAGTGACTGTTACTTACAGATGTCAATTTTTAACATGTCTTAAAAAAAAAAAAACAGAGTTGATCTCTGTGGCAATACTCCAAAATAAGATATAACATTAGGTTTGTTCTCTTGGCTGTTTTTTTCCATGACTGCCTAAAACCTTCATTCTAAACATTATAACCAAATTTAAAATAAAGTTAAATGTAGTTATCATGTCAGATGCCTGGACGGATTCATTTTGACCAAAAATCTGACTTGTGTTTGATCAACCTTAGTTTCAAGATAGGACAAAAAAAAAACAGGTTAACTCTTTCCAGACAGGCTGGTCAGATCAGGCTGTCCACAGAAACATATATATATATATATATATATATATATATATATATATATATATATATATATATATATATATATGAGAAAAGATTACTTCTAAATATCAATTTTATCCCAACTTCAAAGTTTCTTGGTAAAATTTCCAGTCTTCAGGGGTTTTTGCCTTTTTTTTTGCCAAATTTATTGCATAGTGTAATTCTTTCATTAGAACCTGAGCATCATCCTTCAGACTTATATAGATTAGTCACAATGATGTTCACTCTATACAAGGCCCAGGAGCAACTCAGGGTAGATTTATGTGGATATGTGGGGAAGGTAACGGTTAACCTTAGACTTGAACAGGTTAAGATTGTAGTGATCAAAGAAGCATCCTCTTGAGAGCTGATTCCACAAAGCAGTAGTTCATGGGAAGAAGCTGCCCATGTGGAAGCTACATCTCACCAAAGGAATATGAAGAAATGAATGTGGTGTGCAATAATGCATGGTGGATCTTGACTGTGACTGCTAGAACT